TCTTTAAAGAGAAGTTAAACTTTAAATAATTTATTTTATAACATATTTATTTTTTAGCTGCCATGGAAACTGCCTGAAGATTTTCTAAGTAAACTATGTATCACACAGCCTGTGTATCTGACTTTCAGCCCATCTCCATTGGCCCCTTACCACATTAAAAAACAAACAAACAAACAAACAAGAAGTCTTATTAAAGTAATTAATACCAAAGATCCTTATACAAATAGACATTATAAAAAATGAAATATCTGTAGAAGCTGGATCTATTTCCACTATTTTATACAGAGACAAATGTTGTACAAACTAAGTAACTGTTGTAAGCACAAGGATATTTGCATATCTGGTCTTATAAAATGTTAGAAATAATCAAAGAGGTACGGTCTTGAGATCATCCGTCAAAGAATCAGTCTTGATGTGAGGAAGGAAAAAAAAAAGTTTTGGTAACATTTTTAAAGGCCTTAATCTAACTCTCCTTTTTCATGTTCCTAAACTGAAAATAAATTCAAGCATGTATTGATTATTTCCTTATGAGAACTTCAGTTTATTATTTTAAGATACATGTAACCATTTTATAATAAGGTTGAATTATTTTCCAAAATTATATTTATTTATCATTAACAAACTGTATAATTTAATGAGGACAAGAAAGCAAGATTGGTATGATTACCTAAACTGTATAATTCATAAATCATTTTCTTCAACATTGTATGGGTGATAAAATAGCATATATATACAGTGTGTGTGTTTACATGTATACAACTTTTTAGATATTGTATTGCTAATATCTTTGTGTCTAAAATATTATTTGAGTTACATAAGTGTGTTTCACAAATATAATCCATCCTCCCCAAGAAATATCTCTTTGAAATATCTTTTTATATCACCATCTGAATAAAATATGATTTTTTTATTTTAAACCTGATACTTTTTGTACCAGATCCCACCAAAGATCCCAATTACACTTCTGCAAATCAAAGTTTCCTGAAATGCAATGATGATTTTTTCATGTGTATATCTCTTAATCCAGTACGATAATTATTAATCTTCATGCATATCATAAGTATTTTAATTATGTAAATTCATATTGATAAATAAGGCAATTAAATAAAATTCACCGGTGATATTTTATTAAGCTTTGATAATGGAAAGTCTAGAACAATTTTGCTTATGCCAGGAACTGTTTCTGGTGCCCTAAGGTAGAGAAATAAACAGGGCAAAGTATCCTCTATGTTGATGTTTAGAGTATGACTTAATTCATGGCTTACCTAGTTGATTTAAGATATTTGAGATTTGTCTTGTTTTATGATATTATTAGTGTTGGTTTACTGTACTCAGGAAAACAGAAGCCACTCTGTGTAATCCAAGAATGGATGTGTTATTATAGGAATTCAGGGCTTACACAATTATTGAAAGACTGGGAAAGGAAAAAGTCATAGAAATGCTCACTAAAGCTCAGGAAAAAACAGGGAAGATTTCACGCTGAAACTCCGAAGAACTCACGAGGATGCATCTGTGAGCCTCATGTCCATCCACACATCTGGCAGCAACTGCCTGCAGAGAATTCTAACTTTTCTGTTCCACTGAACCCCCTGGCAAGGCTGCCATTTAAAATGGTAAACTGAGAATTCAATGGAAAAATGGATTGGGGCAAACACAAGTTTTGGCATCCCAGGAATAATGCAGAGGAGGTTTTTAAAAGTGATGGCAGTGATGTCTGCGGGGAGCCACTCATGACCTGAGGACTGCCGAGCACGGAACGGGACAGAAAATCCCAAAGTGCTGGCGTCAGCTCTGAGATTGATCTAGCAAAGACAATCTCTGTCCAGCCACCCCTTTGAAGAAGAATGCACCAGGTGTTCTAAAGCTCTAGGAACATCCAGAGCTATTAAGTCACTGATGACCTTAGAACAGAGAGATACAATCTGCATACAAGTTAGTGATCTCAGTTTACTTGAATAATTATCTTAGTTAGTGATCTTGATATGCGGGAACATTAACTTTAGTGTATGAGTACTATAAACAATGTTAATCTATAGAACAATATACGAGATAATGAGCCCTAAAACAATACCTATGCCTACGTGCAGGAATGCACAAGATAACTAGTTGAAATTGTATAAATTAACTGCTGAAAATAAACTCAATGTCCATTCTTGGCTTAGCGTCTTGCGGGCTTAGAGTGAGACCCTCTCAACCCCATCTTTTAGTCTTGTCTTTCTTTTCTCAGTCCTGCAGCACAGGTTTCTGGACCTGATCGATTGTCGGCTGGCTCCGACAGATGTCAAGTTAACAACAGACAGTTAGGGCACCTAATTCACCCGTGCTCCACCATGGGATTGGTATTTTTCTCTTACAGAAGTAGAAGCAGAGATCCAAAGACATTATATACTTGCCTACCTCCACCAGATATTAAGTAACAGAGCTGGATTTGAACCCAGCTCTGCCTGACTGTCATAGCTCTGCCTTGTTTCAGCCACTGAGTATATACTTTAATGCAGGTGCCATGCCTAAACTGTAGCATAAAAAAATAATTTAAAAATCTTCAACAATTTTTTTCACTTCCATTTTGAAAATACAGAAAATTGGTGTAGAACTCATAAAATTACTTAATCACAGTACATTTAAAATTGTGTGTGTGTTTTCTAATGGTGGGCAATTGAAAGTGAAGGGTGCTTGAAACTTCAGGTAATTCAAGTTCGTGCTGAACAAAGGAATGTTGTTGCTAGAAAAGATGAATTCAACCCTGTATAATTTAAAACTGAATACGTCCAGCCAGTGCACATTAACATCTGAGGGCCGAACTTGAGGAGCCATACAATGTGGTATTTACAATTAAAATAGTGATGAAGGCAATTGACCTTTAATAATTATATGTAACATACTCTAGCTTATTAACTGAAATAATGTACCGCAGATGAATGTAAAAAATGGACGTAAAATTCTTAGAGCCCCTGAAACTGTCTTTAAACTTTTAAATCACACACTGAAAAGGAATCTGGCTGAATCACTAACTTTATTCTGTCTTCAAGGTGTACACCCACTTTGTATGCAGAGAACCTTTTCAGAAGGAAGTTGTTCAAGAGGTAGTCAGTATGTAAATTCACTAATTAGATTATTGTAAACACCAATAACACATCATGTTGTTGCTTCCTTAAGAAGACAGAATAATCTCCACAATGTATTCACTATAATGTAAACCAGATATTTGCCTGACTGCAGAATAGAATTACTGTTACAACAATGAGTAATAACATAAATCCTGATGGTATAAGAGTTTTGCATAGCCACTTAACTTACTACATGAGTCATGATCTCAGGGATGTCCAAAACTTTTCCAAACACATGAGAGCTACTGGTTGTGTGGAGAAACTGGAGATTTCAGCTGAACAAATAGTTATTTAACATGCCAGTTTGGGCTGAAATATCTTCAACAACATTTTTAAAAGAGCAGTTTTTAAATAGCTTTTTTGCATGTAAAACCACTACAGGAGACATTTACACACCTAAGATCTGAATCACACATTTTAAAATCTGCAAAATATTATTACTGAGATAAAAAATTATGTTACTAAGAAAGGAAGATCATAATATTGAGTATTATTACTGGGGGTTTGGGGGATAATTCACATAAACTCTCTGAACCTCAGATTTCTTACTTCTGTGATAAGGAGGTTGGGATGATTTCTAAGGGCCATAAAATTCTATTTTCCTCTGATAAATATTACCATTTTCACAATTCTTGCCATGCTATCAAGCCAACGTTGCCATTGCATGTGAATATCATATGCATGAAAATCATAGTTTTCCTCTCTCAGAACAAAATTTCCTTTCAGATTTACTCTCATAAGTTGTTGTCAACTGCACTTATCTTGGGATTTCTGCTGAAATCACCACACACCGATTTTTCCTTTCTCTTTAACAATACCTCAGAACTTTAGAATCTTAGGATACTAGTCGTGTGCACGGATTTAAGGGATCATTCAGGCTGGTGTTTCTTTTCAGAAGCACTATTGGCATTTGATGGGGATAACTCTTTAAGTGCCTTGTAACCTCCTCTGCGTGGTGCCTTTAGTATCCCTCAAGCCCTGGTCCTAGACTCCAATAGTAGCTACAGCCCTCGCTCCACAGGTCACTGTGATAAAATCTAGCCCTATATTTCCACTTGCACTGTGCCATAGTTGGGTAATAAAATAAGCCTATTAACTGTCACAGGAGAATATGATGTCACAGGAGCTTAACTTTTTCTATCCAAGTGAAAAACAAGTGTGAGCAGATTCTAGAAACTAAAATAAGGACACCTTTTTTTTTTTAAATCACAACTGAGAATCTCTTTCAAATATAAGAATGTTTCTTTGTAGCTATAGCTTAATATTTCATTTTTTTCTTCCTAAAATTATTATTGGAATAAAATACTTTGCCCTCTTGGATATTTTTCAAAAGTAGAAATTGCTTTGCTTTCTTTTTCCTCACCTGTTTCTCTTATACTGACTCTCCTGGATTGGAAATTTATAATTGCTGTAAATAGCACTTTGTTGAAAAGTCCCTTGATATTCCATGGAAACTGGAGATTATTCTATTTTCTGCGGTGTCTCTATCTCCAGTTTTGAGGTTATTTGTTCTTGCTTTTGTCCACTTTGCCAGCTTCTTTGATACATTCTATTGGAAGGCTTTTTAAACTATTTTTTCTTGCATTAGTCTTTTTCTTAATTACTTTTATTCCAAAGTACACCTTGAATTTCTACATAGAGTATAAAGTATAAAGCTTGACTCGTTTTTGTGTTATTCTTATTCTTGAAATACATAGATTCTTAAGCTATAAAATAATACTCTATCCACGCAAGCTTGTCTAATTGGAGTGATAGACCAATATATAACAAAAAACACTTCTTCTGGAACTGCTCTTTGTTTCCTTTCGCCAAACAAACAGGATTTTATTAGTTTGCATATGACTATGATTTGGAGTAATAGTTGTAGAAATTATTGTCATGCTTGTATCTTACCTTTTTGGTCTGCTTTTTCCCCAACATGAGGACACCACCAGAAAGATCTCCCTGACTAGAGTGTCGGCAGTAGTCCCGAAGGCTGTGTGGGTGTACAACCCCAGGCAAATCTGAAGTATTCAGGCTCTCCTGCCACTGTCAGCAGCTGGGCACTTTCAATGAATCTCTGGCCAAAAAAAAAAAAAAAGTTTATGAAAGCATCTAATTAGGTGTAAGACAAGTGCTGATTTGTTTTAAAATGTCTCAAAGGAGAATTTAGTGGGTATTATTAGACTCCCCCTGAGTTCTCTAGTGTCAAGTATTCAGAGTGAGTTATATCAACTGTTTGAGTTTATTTGTTACATGATTTCTGTACTCGTACCACCCACATTTGCTTTCCTATTTTTTCAGGGAATTGATTTGGCTAAGTTTTAGAAATAAGAAGGATTGCCATTTGAGACTTTGTGAAGGTAAGTTTCTCAGAATTTGGGGGAGGGGGGAGAGAGAGAGAGGGAGCTTCAGACAGGTCTTTTTAAAAGATGGTAACAAACCATTCTGGTATGAGGTATTGACTATGAAGTATGGACCAGTATATTTCCTGTTATGTGCACTTACCACTCAGCTCCCCTTTTGAGTATATATCTATCTCTTTTGTCAAATAGCTTTAACTTCTTTACTCATGTCATGTTGATGAAAAATATTTTGAAGGGATCTGGTTCCTTTGTTTTCTTTTGTAAGGTTCAAATATTGCCAAATATGAATAAATGGCATAGAATTTTTTAAAGTAGAGAAAAAATTCATTACAATATAGCAGATTACTGGGACTAGGCACTGTAGCAAATGGAGAGTTGTGTAAGACAGTATTTGCCTTCAAGCATCATCATCTATTGAGATAAAAGGGATTAAAAAATATCAACAAAACATACTACTAATGCTATGGGCATTCAAAGGACGGAGATTCACAAATATTGAAAATCAGAAAATACATGAGTAGAATGCTGAATTTTAGTGATCTTGATAATGATTAAGAATATTAATAATTATTAAACAAATATGCAGTAATGTATACAGTACATTAGGCCATGTGGTATAGTAGTGGACAAAAAAGAGATGTTTTCTATTGTGATCAGAATAGAATCCAACATGTTTCAAGATAAATTAATTTTATGTTTTTTGTTTGTTTTTTGTTTAGTTGTGGTGACAGAATGCCAGCATCCAGTTATGAGGTATATTTCTCTATTTTGCATTGTTTTGGAATCAGTATACCATTGGGGAATCAGGCAAAGAAATACAAACATAACTCAGATAGTTAGAACTGATGACCTCAGACCAACCAACCTCATCAGCAGGCTGTGTTTCTTTGGAAAAAGTATTTGGTCTCTCCAGGTATCACTTTTCCCATGTAGGAATCTATATAGTATACAGTAAAGATCTAATGAAATAACTTACATAAAACATTTAGTATTGTCCTACGCATTATACGTGGTTAATGTTTACTGATTTTTGCTACTATAAAACAATTGATATTACTATCAACTATGTCTGTTCAGCTGAGATGATCTACTTCTTTCTTCATTGGTCTGGAATGATTTATTTATGATGTTTTCTAAGGACAGATGTTTGTATGGAATGATCTTTAAAGACATTATTTTCTCAATTTTACTAGGATAATAGAAATATATGTATCATAAATAATAGTACCATTATGAACTTAGGTTTTTTCAATTTCTGTAAACTGAATAAAGATACATATATATCAAGTAAATATACTCTGGTTATTTTTGTACAGAATGACAGTACATTGACTCAAACTTGCTTATGTTTACATTCTATCTTTATGAATATTTGAGTTGACTCAATCTGTGAATGGAAAGGCTAGATCCTCAATTCTATGGAACTTCATTCATATAGTCTCAAAGCTACTTCTCTTTTTAACTAGAGGATGAAGTATTCTGTGCATTCATATAATAAAGCCTATTACTGAGTCACATTGTCAAAGTTGCATACACTGAAATACTGTGATTTTATTATATTTTAATTTTAACCTCTCACTTGCTTCATTAATAGCTCTCAAGAACCATTGAAAATATGCAAAATGATAAGAGATAAATACACTTGGATTTTTTTTCTTTTCCTTTTTTGGAAGATTGGGATATTGGGTCATTAACTAATTGCATCACCTATGTGACACTAAAAACAAAGAGAAAGAATCAGGATACACAGTAAAGCATGGATGAACACTAATATATATACACAAGTACAAGACAATCATTCGTTAATACAAATCAACTACTGTTATTGCTTTATCAAGTATAAGCAAGTAAGAAAAAAATGTAAATTTCCACCCAATGTATTCAAAGTTGTTCAGAAACTTCCTGTATAATTTAAATTCTAGCAAAGGACTTTGGCATCTGTTTTGGAGGTCTGTTATTTCCAGTTACTTTAAGTGATTGTGAAACAAAATGTAAAAAATAGATTTTCAAAATACATGGCCTAGGATGATATTTACTTGGCCTTTAGCAGTGAGATATCAGCTTAATGAGGTAGGAGCAAATGTTTGGCATGTGTGGAATCAATCTGTTTTTCAAACATTGTTAGCCTTGTCCGTTTCAATAAATGCTCTGTGTGAACTGAAATACTTCACTTCCACTCCCGGTAACAATCAGATAGGTGGGTGATGTTTTCTCAACAGGGGCATTATTCAGTATGAATGAAAATCACTTGTTCCCAAATGACAGGATCAAGATGAAGATAGGACTACAGACAAAACTCTGACATCCCAGTATCTTGACCTTTGTTGTTTCTAGGCCCTCCTTGTCCTCCGCCAGGCTGAACAAGAAAACCACAGCATACTCATCTTGATAAACAGCCACTGACCACATATTGAGAACTTGTACATACTGTGTATCTATTACACTTCTGGCATAAAACAAAATGTCTGTATCAGTGTTATCAATTTTCTGCAAAATGATTGAAAAGAACAGGTCATAGTCAATCTACTTTAGCAGTCCAATTACAAGAACATAGTAACTCCAATGTTCTTACACTAGCTATGAATAATAATAGTATTAATTATAAAATAAGATATCTTCCTTTCTACTCATTTATATGAGTGTGTTTTTCCTAGATTTTATCTGTATATTTAATGTGCTAATATTTTTAGGATTTTTAAATTTATTTTTTATGTTAAGTTATAATAGAAGCTGATAGAATGCCTATAAATTCATGAAGATTCAAAATGAACTGCTACCACAGCTACATACAGACATATCTGCTCTCACAAGAGTATACTCTTGGCATATATTAAATTTATTATAAAGTTTTCAAACCATTTCCCCCCTGCACATAATAAATTTTAAAAAGCAATTTAGAAATTACTCATAGAAAAGTGAATTGCCTAGCAATCCCATGAGTTAAAATTATGTCCTTGAGAAATCATTTAAAATAAAACAGACTTCATTAAATGAGAAAAATAAATCCCTCTTTTAACATAGCACCCAAACTCTAACAATACAAAGTAACAAATTGCTCGAGGCCTCAAATCATAGGATTCTAACCAAGGTTAATTTCTTTAATATTTTGAACACTGAAAAATTGTAGTCTAGAAGAAAGAATATATCAAGTCACTAAGTTATCAAAATACCATGGGAAAATAACAGATCTAAGTTTTTACTATCCTTTCAATAAGCCCCCCTTGAGTTGGCAATAAATGCCTAAGTTGAGGAAGAATACCTGGTATATAGGTTTGAAAATCTTTGGGGGTATAATAATTAAATCCCTGCAGTCTTTTTCTTAAAGACAGAGAGTAGCCATTCATCCAAAGCTTTTAGGACTTTTTTTTTCTCATAGAGAAGAGATTCTCTTTATTGCTCTTTGAAGAGTGTATAATGGATGCTAAATAATTTATTTCCAAATGGAAATGCATCTTCAGAAAAATTCATATTAATCTAACTTTAATTTACTTCAAGTCAACAAATATTTATGACATACTTATAATATGCAAAATTCTATGCTATAAATTCCTAAGGGATATATAAAGATGAGTTAGACATATTCTTGTTTGGGGAAGTAAATACAGGAAGGAATGCCTAATTAACAAGGGAGTTAAACACATCTGAGCTGGATCTTGAGGACACAGGATGGTGTGAACAAGCAAAAATACGTGGGAGATATTCAGATAGAAAGCTGCACAAGAAACATAAAAAGACAGGAGGAGCTAAAAAAACTGATATAAAATTAAAACCTGTTAACTCATCTTTTCATAGGAGATGTATATTTCCTCAAGTATAGACACACTGTCCTCAGAGCAACCCAGTTATATACACAGGACAGGTGTCATGCATGTGTGTGTGTGTGTGTTACAGATAAGAAAATAATGGTTTTTCAGTTACACTATGCCAATTAATCACAAAATTAGAAAAGAATCCTGTCCTTTGGCTACTAGAGCAGTTCTCCTCCCACTACAGGATGCCACCTTTGCCACCTTTGCCACCTTTCACATCACTTTGGATTATATTGAAGGAGCACTACTCCCTAAACAGAATATAAACTAGGAAGCTGAACACTGCGGACATAGATGAAACACCATACCTCAAGTAATTTTCATGAAACTATCCAATTAACAAATAACTAGAACATTGCCCCCAGTTAGGTCTCAGCTACATGCAGTCATACTGAATAAATACAGGATGAAGAAGGCAAATAGAAGTCAAATTGCAAGGCCCCTGAGAAAACCTTCAACAAAGATGAGGAAGGATTCCGGAATGTGGGGGCCAAACTCGGTCATGGGACCTGAATGTGGTGAGGGAATTGTGATATGGATTTTTGAAGAAATAGTCTTTCAATTTATTCCTATGTCCTTGTGAGGAGACCCTCAGCTAAAAGAAATTAGAAGAAACTAAGAAAATTGCATAAAGTAAAAATTGAATTCCTTTTATAAATGGTTTCAGTAGTTTGATTCAGCAAGTAGCTTTACTCAAGAATATTTACTGATGTCATACTGGAAGCTAGGAATATAGCAAACAACTCAACCAGGATAGGTCTTAACAAAACTGTGTATCATAAAATGTTGAATTCTTGAAAGTAAAATCTAAATACTTCCTCATTATTAGTTTATATTTCATGATTTACTCCCCTTTTCTATGCATACTTTAATGCAGTTATCCATTCTATAAACAATCCCTTCTGAATACTTTTTCTTAAAAGACATGTGTGTTGTGTGTTTTAGGCTTCAGTAATTTAAAAATTCAGCAAATAGTCAAACTCCAGCCATTCCTTCATATTATTAAATGAGAAGATAAATTCAATAAAGAGAACCAGGGTTTTGGAGAGTCCATGTACTTTTTTGTCTATATAGATGTGATCTCATGGTCACCAATGCCAGCCTCAGGTCAGTGATTTGCTAGGACTCACAAAACTCAGAAAAAACATTATACCATGATTATGGTTTGTTACAGTGACAGGATATAGAATAAAATACCAAAGGGAAGAGGTGCATAGGGCAGAGTCTAGGAGATGTCAGGTGAAAGCTTCCTGGAGTCCTCTCCCAGGGCAGTTGTGCACACAGGGTTTATTCCTCCCAGCCCTGTGTGGCAACAACGCATAGAGCTTTGCCACTCAGTGAAGCTCACCTGAGCCCAGATGTCCAGGGTTTTTACTGAGGTCTGGTGACTTAGGCAAGGTTTCCTGCTAACCTCTGTTCTGCATCCCTTCCAGAGATCAAGCGGATAACACGGTCGAAGCTGCCATCATAATCACATTGCAGGCAAGAACTCTCCTCGTTGCCCAAGTCCCCCAGGTTAACAGATACTCTGAATAGATAGGGTACTCTAAAGACTTAGATGTTACCTCCCCGGAATCAGCCAAGAGACTCATCTTTAACGTGCAGTGTGCACACAACCTGGACTCGCTGAGTTAATCATTTTCTGCAATAGAATTCACTTTTTGTTAAAAACACAAAAACATTTCTCCTTTAGATATTGGAAACACTAAAAGTCAAGGAGAGATAAAAACATATACCGAAAACAAAAAAGAGATTGAGAGTAGCGAGCAGCAAACTTAATTTTTTTTAAAGAGTAGTCTGCACTGATGGCATTACTTCCTTATCTCTCATTCACTTCTCAGACCAGTCATCTGGCTTTTCTTTTCATCACACTGAAGAAACTCCCCTCTATAACACTGAAGGACACATAAAACACCTGATGTAATGAGCCCGAAGAATTCTGCAGACCTTTGCTTTAGACATCTGCAGCCCTGGACACTGCTGATCACAAAACGTGCCCTTTTTAATTCGTATTTTTGACTATTCCAAAAAGTGTCTACAAGTTTACAGAATCCAAATTGCCTGCAAGTTTATAGAATGAAAACTATTACTCATCAGACTATTCTGACCTAAGAGATAATAATTAGTTTCTTGAATGTCCTTTCAGAAAATCTCTACACACACACACACACACACACACACCCTTGTCACCCTTATTTATACCAAGCAATATATAAAATATATGAAACAAGTCAATCCTTTTAATTAACATCTAATTGAGAAATTTCACATAAGAGATAATGACAAAATTTCTGGATTTTTACAACTGCAGAGAATAATGATATATGATTATGATATAATTTAGGATATAAGGTTATTTCTCAAGCTGCTAGGATAAAAAAATCTTACTGTATCTTAATCTTCAGTTGTATTTGATAAATTTGAGCATCTTTATATGTATGTATCAGCCATTCGTATTTCTTGCTTTTATATTTTCTTCCTGTATTAATATCATTACAACTTAATCTGTCATATTTCTTGCAAATAGTATATTTCCTTTCTGTGGTTTTTAACTTAACTCTATCTATGTTTGAATGTTTTCTCTGACAAAAAAATTCTATAGTGAAGTTTATCTGCCTTTTGCTTTATAGTTTCTGGGATCTGTGTCTAGTTTGGAAAGAATTTCCAAACAACAAGATTATAAATGTTATCTTCATCCATTTTTACTGCAGATTTTAGTCTGTACCACTTTGATGTTTTGAAATCTATTGACATTTACTGTGCAGCTTAATATTTAATCATTTATTGTAAATCTTGCATATGCACTTGAAAATATGATGTAGTGTCTGTTTTCAGGGGCCAGAGTTTAACATGTAACTACTAAATTATCTCCATCTTATCTGGGCCTTTTGTCTGTGTCTGTATTTTTTGTTGTTTATTTGCTCTGTGTATGTTAACATTTTAATTTCATTGTGAGTTTCTATTATTTTATCTAATATTATCTCTATAGATAGTATTTGATAGATTTTGATTTTGTTATTTACTACGTAAAATTTTGTTTTTCTTCTAAAAGTCATTTGTTTCATTATTGAATTCTGTTTTTCATTCTGTTTAAAAAGTTTGCTTTGTTTTCAAACTTCTCTTTTTTTATTGCATTATCTGGTATCATTTTCCTTCAAGACTAGGTCTATCACTTATATTTATTAATAAGATGTTTGGAGTTAGCTCTATCTTATTATATTCTTTCTGCTTTAAATGTGTCTTTGCTTTTTATCTATTACTATAGCTTCCAATACTGTCATGAATGTGTGAATGAATGTACATGTGTTTGTGTGGGTTTTTTTCCTGCTGAAACTTTAAAATTTAGATGTTTTTATTTTTTAAATTATTATGACTAATGTTAACATCTACATCTTGTAAGTAATACTCTTAAGTCTATTATTAGATTTAGTTGTGAGATGTTGATTTTCTAATTCTGATCATTGATCACTAGCCATAAAAAAACAGTGAATTTATAAGCCATATTTATTACTTGGCCTTTCACTAACCTATTTTTGGTTTTTTAATTGGAACATCATTATTTATAACTTCTTTGATTCTAAACCACAATTACCATAATTGTTTTGAAAATGACTTAGGGGTGGGGTTTACTGATTTCCCTCCTGTCTAAAGATAAATGTTCCTACTCAATAATCAGCTTGAAAAGTTAATTGACATTTTCCCTTTTTGAGTATTCTTTACACGTATCTTCACAATCCCCTCACTCTATGGGGACATCTAAGGTCAGGCTGATTCTCTCTGCACAAAAAGGAATCAACTTGAAAAGTCAAGGTAGTTCACACCCTGTATTTTCCAAACAAAATTTGGCCCTTATCAGTCTCCTAGGAGGTAATCTCAAAACCCTTGGAATATCCTGTCTGATAAGAGTACCTATTTACCTAGGGGCCCTGGACCATGCCACAGAGACTATATTAATAATATGATTGATGCTGGGGGCCTGAGGCTGTGAGATATCAGCTTGACTTCCAGACCAGTGGGAGTCTAAATGTGAGTCAACACACTAATGTGAATGACCCCCAGTAAAAGGCCTGGACACCAAAGCTTAGGTGAATGAGCTTTGGCATGAGATGGTTGGCAATATTCCATGTGTGGTGGTACACATGTTGCCACACGTATGATGTATTACTGGGAGAAGCTAGTACTATCTGCAAAACTCCTACAGGAGAAGCAAACTGGAAGCTCTCCTGGTGTCTCCCTAGAAGCCTTTTCCTCTGCTGATTTTAGTCAGTACTCTTTCAAGGTAATAAACCATAACCATGGATGTCACAGCTTTTCTTAGTTCTTTGCATCCTTCCAGTGAGAGAATGAATCTGTTTGTGGTCCTGGGACACC